TTATCAAGAGGTGCTACTTAAGTCATCCCTGCCCAAGGAGACCTTTCCCTCGGCAACTTTTCCAGGGCACTCAGCCTGCCCATGGCACGGATGGAGCCTGCAAATCCTTGCAGCACCAAGACTCCCCACCCTCCCCAAAGAATGGCCACAAACTAGCAAGCAGGGGCTGCTTGTGTTGTCACCAGCAAGAGGGCTGACGCCTGGCATGGCTTTCAACTAGTCAAGTGTCATTATCCCGAGCACTGGGCCACACTCAGCTCCTTGACCCCTGGCTTCTCTCCTGCGCCTTCCCTCTTGGGATGCTGGCATGGCTTTCAACCACCCTCTTGGCACAGATCTTTTGTTCTGGCATGGCTGAGAAAAGGCTTTTGGTGGCACCCGGTCTCTGCGCGATGGGCTTGTTTTCTTTGGCCACATCACAGCCCCTTAAGACAGGACTGGCTGTGTCAGATGGCAAGTCCTGGATCTCCCTCCTTGGAAAGCTGCCGAGCTTTGAAGGAGAGGTACCACTCAGCTGCAGGGTGCGACAGGCAAGCAAGTGGAGGGTGAGTTGGGAGATGTACAGCATGGAGTTGGAGGTCAAAAAGAAGCCAAGAAGAGCAGAGAGAAAATACAACCTGGCCTCAGAGATGACAAAAGATATTTCCTAGGAAGGCAGTGGGGATCATATGAAGTTTGCTGGAATGGGTAAATTCAAGTTGGCTGAAGATTGACTGGGGAGCAAGGAGGTGGTGGGAAGGAGATGTTTATTCCAAGCTCTTTTTATTTCTATTCTGCTGGTCCTGGTCCTTTCTGATTTTCTATACTTTGAAAAGGGAAGCATCACACCTCCTATTCTAACAAAACCTGCTCTTCTGGAGGTTAAACACCTTTGGTCTTTTTTAGAACACCCAATGCAAGAGAAAGGTTCAGGAAACCACCTCTGAGCACAGGCTGGCACTGGCTGCTCTCTTTCGACCAACCTTCTCTTAAGAAGAGAGGTGGTCTGTCCCTAAGGGCTCCTCTCTGCACTGTGGTGTCTAGGCTGCTGATTGCTTTGTTGGTGGGACTGAAAAGATGACAACATTACAGGGAAATGCAAAGGGTAAACCTGGGTAGTCTAAGGTCAGCATCAACCTGGGTAGTCTAAGGCCAACATCAACTTGGCCAATGCAGAACACAAGGCCATGGGTCCAGGAGGAACTGCAAAGGATCCAGTCAAAGGTGACCAAGGCAGCCTGGGGCATAGGGCTTCTGAGACGTGGAGAGAGCTGGGCTGGCTAAGCCTGCTAATGAAGACATTAAGGATTAATTTAATTGCAGCTACAACTGCTCGGAGCTCTGTTAAAAGAGGGTGGAAACTCGCTCTTCCCAGCAGGGGTAGGCGATGCAACAAGGGGCACAAGCCACAAATCAGGCTCAAAATTATGAAAAGCTTCTTTCCGAGGAGGGTGACTTAGTCCTGGGACAGGTTAGCAGAGACGTGGAGTTTTCCAAGACTCAGCTAGAAAAAGCCACAGCAGATATACTCTTGGTGGTAGTCCCACTGCCAACAGGAGGGTGAATCAGGGATCCCAGATGTCCCTTCCACAAACCCTGATGGGATCCTATGGCCCAAATCAGGCACGGCAGCATGACTTTGTGGAAGTAGCTCTTGTCAAACTGTCCTGATTTTTTTTCCTGAACTCAGGAGTTAGCAGAGTGCACAAACTTAAAATGTGTGAGACACCAGGCTCAGTATCAGCATCATCTGCAACACATGAAATTAGTTTTAAATAAGGTTGGCACTCAATAGGGACTCACACTGTGTCCAGCACAGTGGAGGCAGCAACTCTCCTTAAAATTATTAGAGATCTGGGAGACGATATAAAAACATTGCTGGCAAAACGTTCATAAAGTATGCAAAACGGCAGTGTTGGGAATGACAACTTCTGTACAGAGCAATGATCATGGCTTGATGGATGAGCCCATGAAAACGATTATAAGATTGTGCTTGCATCTGGAAACCAAAATGCAGGTCTTGCTTGCAGAATGGGAGACTGCATCGAGGAAAGCAGCATCTGAAGGGACCAAGACAGAACCCACCAGGGAGGGAAGAGCTGCCCGCATGGCTGAGTGAGGTAGCACTTTACACTCGGATGTGTAAAGGGAACAGCGAGACCAGCAAGGGAAGTAATTTATCTGCAGTACAGCTGCTACTGGGTACAACACCTAGTTCAAAAAATTATGATGAAGAATACAGAAGTTTCTACAAAGAGCTGTGGGAAGATCCACATTCTGGAAAGCCACCTCATAGCAAGAAAGCATGATTCAGCTTGGCCTAATTACCTCTTTTTTTTCCTTGAGAGAAGCTACCCGCTGCCTGTGTCTACGTGAGCAGAAATGTCTTACTACCACAACACAACAGCAAAATAAATTATGTGGATGTAAAGGCCAATGTTAGTGAAATCCAGACGTTGTTGGAGAGGGATACAACCATAATGACCGCACACATCTTTCTCTGAGGGAACAACAAGGTGAATGGCATGTCACCTTCTTCTCAAGTTTCCCTTTTGGGATGACAGTCACCATACCATCGTACCTCCCAGTGCCACTCCTCTGGCCACACTCAGTACCTGCCCTCTGGCTGCTTTACGGGGATCGTTTTCTTACTCTCTCACAGCAGCTTCTTCTTGGGATGCTGAAGAATTTATGGTACCTGAAGGTTAAAGATGCTGCTGGTGACGTGGCATCTCTCCTGTCTTGAAAGCACCAAGCATAGGTGGTCCCCCAACCAGGGTCCATTTATCCCTGGGTGAACCAGGGCAATTTTGCCTTGCTTTCTTCATGGCTGGGAGGTCCCTGAAGGACAGCGTGGTGGGCACTTTGCAGGGAGGCCATCGTCCAGCTGTGGCAGGAGCACAACTCCATCACATATTCGGTGCTCTGCTCTGCCTGAGATGGAGCCCCAGCTGGCTGCTCAACCCAGAGCAAAAGCAGAGGGAGGCTGTAATCACTGCTTCCCCAGGCTCATCCCTCCCCTCCCTCTGCACGCTCTCCTCTCCCCACAACACACTCCATTCTCCTGTCCCAGCTCTGTCTTTGTGTCTGCAGCTTCTGTTACCAACTGCTAATGATCTACACCAAGGCTGCCAGGCGGTGCCGAGTGTAAGCAGAAGAATTCAGAGCCTCTAATTACAGAGGAATTAGCAAGCAGACAGTTACTGTTTAGTGCTAATGAATAGATACATAAAGAGAGACATCACACAGGCTGAGAAGTGTGAGCCCTGATAATAAAGGAGTGTCAAACAAGGAAAACACAAGGACGAGGATCCAAGGGACTGAAAGGATTCGCCTGCAACTCAGCTTTCTGGTTTTGCTAAGGTGGAAGTAGCCACAGGCCATATATGAAGGTAACAAGCACACCACATAACTGCAAAGTGCAAAATCCGAGCATTAAATAACTCATCTATAGTGCAGGACCACGCTGGGGGTGTGCAGAGCCCCTTCCCAGCCCCAGGTAGCATCACACCCACCCCGTCTCCATCAGCTATCTCTGTAAAGGAAATGGCAACAGGTCACCATCCCAGACCAATTCCTCTCTCCTCATCACGTGCAGATGTGTTCCTGCTTGCAGTCAAACCACAGTTCAACGCTATGCTAAATCTGCCTTCAGGGCTTCTGATACGGTATTGAAAACACTGTGACCCCACAGGTCCCAAGCTAATGTAAGATCAGAGGTCACTCCGCTGGTTCATGTGCAACCAAGACATTTTTGCAGGTTACCTCTGTCTCGGTGCTCTGCATGCCCAACCAAGTGATGCCCATCTGCACCACTGCTGCTTTACCCCAGACCAAACACCTCCTGTCCCCTGCAGCCAGCACACACCACAGTTTCCAGGCAATTTAGTGGAAATGCAATCATCTGCGACTGCCAAATTCAGTCTTGAGGGTCATGTAGTGTCCAGGGCAGCCTGGGGCATGTTCACACTCCCCACACACTTGTTTGCAGTGCTCAGAGGGACCACAGAAATTCACTTGCTCCCACGGATGCTTGTACCTTATTGGCACGCTTCCACCATGCAATTGGATTAAGCAAAAACCAGTCCCAGTCTGCTCCAGTTCCAGATGGCTTCCAGGTGGGCTGAGGAGAGCAGCCCCTGACCAGCAGATCTGCAGGACATCCTGCCACCAGCACAGCTGCTGCCTGGGGGCTGCTGGTGAATCTCCCAGGAACAGCGCTACCAGCCCCCTGATGCATCCCTTCCCCCAGCAAAACCACCCTGCATGGGGGGAGCACAGCAAAACGCCAGGCCAGCACAGAGCTGGACACCCCGAAGGAAACCCTTCCAGCTCTGCTGCTTGGTCTTCTTCACCAAGGTGACTCTGCAGTGGCACAGGACCTGGAGCACATTTCCAGATGGTCCTGGAACTGCTTTACAACCTCTTCTGTGCAGCTTTCCTTTGCTTTCACAGCCTGTCTTGGCTTTCTCTGCAGTCAGAGCAGATTGCAGCTTGTCTCAAAATGCTGGAGCTAATCTTACCTTCCCTCCTCAAGAACCAGGAGCAATAGCAGGGGCTGCAGCAAGGCTGCCAGCAGTGGTGAGCACTGCTGCCACGTCTGCAACACACTGACAACGCGTGCAACTGATGCTCCAAGGCAACAACCTCAGAAACAGTCACACGCCCAGCACTGGAGAGGGATGCTGAGAGACCAGAGGACCAAGACATGAGCTGTTCTGCTGTGGTGATGGGGAGGGCAGCTCTGCCTTGGGGCACACTCCAGCTTTTCACTGAAATAAGGGATATTTTTCACACCCGAGGCTTGGGATTCATCCAGGAACTGCCAAGCCGATGCACTTTGGTCATCACCAGCGTTACGGAGCAAGCGACACCACGCTGTATCTCACCCCACCTCTTCTCCCCATCAAGCCCTGTTCACCCCACAGGGTTTCACCCAGCACCTCTTGACCAGGAGATCTCTGCCCACCACCTCCCCTTCCTGGAGACAGTCTGCTGGGAGACACAGGTCCACGTCTTACCAGCCTGATTGGTGGTGATGTTCACTGATGCAAACTGTGGGGAGAAGGGGCTCTGGTCGGTGACGCCGTTCACCGCCTGGATCTCAAAGGTGTACTGGGTGTGGGCCAGCAAGTCGCTGATGTAGATGCGGGGCTCTGTCAGGCCCAGCTGGCGGGGGGCGAACTGCACGTTGTCCCCGCAGCGCGTGCATGCCCCGCGGCCAGAGCCACAGCTCTTGCAGATGATGTTGTACACCAGGTCCTCCCGGCCCCCCGAGTCCCGCGGCGGGGTCCACTCCAGCATCAGAGAGGTCTCATTCACGCTGGAGATGACGGCCTGGGGGGCAGACGGGATGGCTGTAAAGAGAATACACAGAAAGGTGTAAGAGGCAGCACCCTGCTCATCGCTACAGGACCAGCTGCACACCATCCTCTTCTGCATCCCTGGACAGGACTCTGCAGCAGGCACACTTTGAGCTGGGTGCTTCTCTTGGTGTCAGGGATGTGCGGAGCAAGCAAGGCAGCCATAGGCAAGAGCAGGAACAAAATCTGTCCTCTTAACCCAGGCTAATTTGATTATGTGGTATCCCTGGCAAAAGTCACCAGTTATTTTTTGTAGCATTTCTGATTCCTGGCCTTTGCACTAATCTCCTGCATGCCAACACATCCAGGTATGGCCCCACAGTGAAGCCATCCCAGTGCCTAGAATAGCACAAAAGAACCCAAATTTCTGTCCTCTTTGCCTGTGCAATGTTTGCAAGTGCAGACTGGCCCAAGGTAAGAAAGACCCGCACCTGCAAGGCTTCTCTGGACAAGGTGCTCTGAGCCCTCTGGCCTCCTCCAAAATCCCACTGAGACAGATGCCTTTGTTAAGCATCCCTTGGTGCTTTGACTGATGAGTATCTCCTTTCCCAGCCACGTGCGGCCCCTCCCCAGTTGCCCAGAGCCCACATACTGGTGCACGGCATGTCGACAGGATCGGCATCTGCCCGGTAATATCCGTTTCGGCACACGCAGTTAGTGGCCCCTTCCGAAGTTGTCCGGCTGTTAATCGGGCAGTGGATGCATCCTTCATCCCCTTGGCTGGCCTTAAACGTCCCCGATGGGCAGCCTGGAAGAGAACGAAAAGCAGCGGTAAGCAGTGAGGACAGGGGCTGGCAGGGACGCCCGAAGCCTGGCAGCATTGCCAGAAAACACCCCTCAGGGCTTTGCGGAGTCCAAAGCCAAAACCTGACAATTTGAAATAAACAAAGTGGAGAAGGAGCAGCTGGTTTGAAGGCTCTGAGGAGGCAGGCGCTGCAGCTCATGCTGCCTGTAAAGATGGGGAGACGTGCCTCCCTGCTAGTCCCCAGCCATGACCGGAGAACAGGGTCCACTCAGGGAGTCTTACGAATGCAAAGGGGATTTTTAGCCACTGTCACATAAGAAGACGCGAGCGGCTGTACCAAGTCAGACCAAAGGTCCACGGTGACCAGAATGACCCCCCCAACAGTGGCCACCCAAGGAGCAGGGCATGAGCCAGGCACACAATACCTTCTCACCCTCCAACAATTTATATAGCTCAGGGACTTTCCAAGAGGCAGGCTCTTTGCATTTAATGTCCCTTGTGAGATGTTTTTTTCCACTAAGTTACCCAGTCATTTTTTATTTCATGCAAATGTTTTGCACCCATTTTATCCTGCAGCACAGAGCCCCACGCTGTAATTGTGTGCTGCATGAAGAAACCACTGCCCTCTGCTTTGAAGCTGCCCACTGCCATTTCATTTGATACAATCTCACATTTGCATTGGCAGTGAACACTCAATCACCATCCACCTTCTCCATGACCCCTAGGGTTGCACAAACCTCCACCATGCCCCAAACAAGTTGCATAACAACATTCACTATTTTATTCTCTACTCTTTTCTCATAATTAGCAAAGTCCAAATTATTATTTAACCACCAATGTACCAACTGGACTACCTATTATAGTCCCAAGGTCTCATTCCTGAGAGACATCAGGCCATCTCACAGCCTATCTCTGTGCATGTGCGTGTGAAGTTGGCATTGTTTTCTCCCATTTCCATCACCTCATGTCTACTGAATTCCAATTGCCTTCTTATTCCCCGGTCACGCAGTCTCATGAGGTCCTTTTGCAACTCTCCATAGCCAGTCCATGTCTTCACTACTCAGTATCATAAGCAAATTGTCACTTCTGCCACAACCGGCAGCAGCGTGCTGGGATCTACCTCCACTGGGGCTCAGACCTCCAAGCCACTCACGGATGAAGAAGATGCTCCATGAGCAACAGCCACTCAAAAAATTGTTGTTCAGCCAGGCAGGGTGGGCAAAGGTGGCATGGGGGGTGCATGGTGCCTACAGCAGATGGGTGGTGAAGGCTAGATCACAGTCTGAAATACAGTATTAACAGATATGGCACAGGTGGCTAAAAACATCATTGCAAAGCTTTAAACACTAGAAAATCCTTTCCAAGTCAGGGGATCACCAATGCCAAAGCAAAAGCTTGGCTATAAGCATTTATCAGCATGGGTCTTGGTGATTACTCTTGGTTGGGACTTTTTGCCGCTGTTAATTTCTTGTGCAGCACGAAGAGCCTGGGGGGTGGCAGGTGGTTTCTGCACTGAAACGAGTTAAACAAACTTCTACTTCAGTTCGCTGCCAAGGCTTTCAGGAATGAGGCAGATCAGAAAAACAGCCTGAGAAAAAAAATACGCTCAGGGTTGCTGTAAGCAAGAGCTATTACTAAGAAGTATCTGTTTTTTTCTTTGGGGAAAAAAAAATTTAAAAAAGAGGTTTTTTCAGTTTTCACCTCCCTTCCTTCAAAATTATCTTGACCTTCCAATGACAAAAGCTCTACAGGAAAATACCGTCAGCCTTCCTGCTTGCAAAGTCCCTCCTGCCTCCTACAGTCAAAGGATCTGTTGAAAAACTGGCTTCTCCTCATGTTCCTGGATCTTTTCACCCTTCCTGTCCCCTATCCCCCACGCATTTGACTCCATTTCTGACCCTATTCCCAGCATGTGCCTCCGTACAAACCCATCTCAGAGGGTGTTAAGCTGTTGGGAGAGGTGATGGCTGCATAGTTCTCCGGTACAGAGAAGTGATTATGGCTCTGTACCTGAAATGATAACAGGGTCCCCGTGCTAATACCAATTTTTGAAACACGATAAAACCAACACACAAAACTGCTCTAGTCTGACATCCAGGGTGAAATACAGGGTCATTTGATCAAAGATGTTTTAAGACATGGGCCTCTTTCACCTTCCCAATGCTTATTTTAAAAATAACAACTTTTCTATAAGGATGCTTCTGCATCAAGATAGAGATACATCCAAAAAAATGCCTATGCTGCTGAGATTTAGTGACTGGCCCTGAGAGATAAAAAACATTCCCCAGGTTTGGCCTGGCACAGGCCAACAGCTGCAATTAATACTTCTGCCCTTAGAGTGGAAAAAAAATTGAGGGCTGAATGATGGTTCACCAAAAATACCAAGCTGGGATGCTAGAACTCTTTGCACGTGCCACCAAAACATGGCCAGAAGTTTTGGCAACTTTCTTCCTCCCCAGGAGGTCCTGCACACTGACATGGGATAAAATAATCCTGGAAAATCAGAGCTTCTCCAAAGATAAATGTCCTGAAATCATGCTGAAAGACAGGAAAATCATTGAAATCTGATGCAAAGCCCTTTTTTATTTTTTTCTTTTTCCCTCAAGTAATGACAACCTCCAGAAGTAAAATAAACAAACATTGTGTTCAAAACTGTTTTGTTCCCTCCAGGTCTTAGTCTGGGTGAGAAAACAGCTTTTAATTTGGAATCCACCCAATTTCTTGTTTCCAGAGTAAACAGAAAATCAAAACTGAAATCTTCACACAGGGGCTAAACCCCCTCCTGTGTGAACAGCGTGGATGTTCTCACCACTTGCTGGAAGACACAAGGACACTCCAGTTTTCTGCCCCGGATGGTGACAGCAGCTTTGGGACATGCTGCTTCACCTTAGGCTTGTGAGGAGGGCAGGGCAAGAGCATCCCTAGAAAATGCTGCTTGGAAAGAGGAAATTGAAACAGTGAAATCACACAAATCTCTACCTTATCAGAGCAGCCTTCATTCCAGGACGGCGATAACGGTGACAGCGGCTCTGGCCCCAACACTGGAGCAGAGGCAGTTTGCAGCTTCCCACGTGGTGGGTTCCTGCATCTCCAGCACCAATCAGAGGATGCTAATAGGGGTTCACGGGAAACATATGGACCTTTAATTGCCTCACTGCTGCACATAGGCATGGATGGCTGCCTCGCTAGGGTACGGCTCAGCAACAGCAGCGGGTTTGCTGAGTACTGGCTGTAGGTCTCTCAAACAAGGCTGGGAATGCCTGAGCAGCACCACGTGTCCGCATTTCCCATCCGCCCATTCCCAGAGCACGGAAAGGTGGCCGTGCCTGTGAAGGCACATGTTTTGGGAAGGCAACGACATGGAGAAGGACCCGTGAGGGGTCCTGCCCTCCCCTGCAGGAGGACCATGCCAGGGATCTGGGAGGGAAGGCCACTTCTGCAGCTTCCACTGCTGGAGGCAGCGCTGGCATGAGGCTTCCAGCCCTCCTTCCCCCCAGCACTGCCTGCCCCAGGGCAGCTCGGCAGAGAAAGGCATCACATGGCTCAGCTTGAAGGAAAAGCCTTTGGCCAAACCTGCAGGAGGGGCCGCAGGGGTGTTCCCTGTTTGCTGGCCCTGTGTCCCACTGCCTTTCTCTAACCAACTTTTTAATTAATCCAGTGTGAGCTGAGCAGGCTCCAAACAGGCTCCTCTGCATCAAAAAGTGCCCTGGCCTTCAGAGCCCACGTCAGACCACTTCTGCAAACAGCTCAGTGCAAACAGCTCTCTCCTGCAGTAAAGGTTTCCAAAACGGCACCTTCAGTCCATGCTAATGACTCTGAGGAAGGGTCCTCCTTGGCTCCCTTTGCCTGGCTTTGTTTCCCCTGGCAGCAAGGCTCCTTCCACTCAAGCAAGGCATTTTTAATGGCTGATGGAAAACAGGCAGCCCTGGCTTTGTCAGTTAGGATCCGCCAAGAGTCTTAAATCCCCAGCCTTATCTCCCAGCTGCCTTTCTTCTCCCTCTGGGGACGGAGGCAGGGGGCAGGCAGGCTGGCTCTGCAGCCCGACATTGTCAGCATCCCCAGCGCCACAGGGCCCCGAGCTGGTCGCCTTGGCTGCATCCTGACTCTTGCCCTCCCCCGTGCTTTTGGGAGCCCTCTCCCATGGCCCTCCCCACTCCCTCTGGCATCCTAATCACCTTGCAAACCCTACGCAAGCCTCTGGCTCCCTTGGCCACACACCATGGGACCGCTTTTGCATCGATCCCACGCCATATGGGTGCCAGTGATGTGCTTTTATGGAGAATAAAGAAAACAACGTCCTGGGCCATGCCAGGAGGACAGTGGCCAGCACATCAAGGGAGGTGTTTTCCCCTGCCAGGCACTGGGGATGCTGCCATGGCTAGATTGAGGTTGCCCAGTTCAAGAGCAATATGGAGGAGCTGGAATGGGTTAACTGGGGTAAGGGGGGGTCTAGCTGCTGCTGTAGCTATTTGGGGGCAGATGCAAAGAAGACGGACCCAAACACTTCTCAGGGTGCCAGACTCTGTAACAAGGGACAAGGACCACAGGTTCAGACTGGACATTAGGAAAAGCTCCTTCTCCAAAGGATGGTGCAGCCCTGGGACAGGTCACAGAAGGGTGGTGGATCTCCTTCCTCGGGGGACCTTCAGCTAAATGCCATGGCTGCCCTGAGCTAATGCTGGTGGTAGCCCCACTACAAGTGGGAGGCTGGACCCCAGACCCCAGAGCCTCCTCCACCAGCTCTTGTAGGTCTCTGCTGCTCATGGTGTGTTTGTGGTTTATGATGTTGTCCTGTGCAGAAGACTATTATGTCCAACCAACTCTGAATTTACCCCTTTTACCTTTCATCAGCCATGCCCTTCTTGCAAGATCAGGTGGGTATTGTAATGACATTGTCACTTTTCCCATATTCTTCCCCATTCTGCCCCTTGCACCTTGACTGTTGTTTTTAGTTCTGCATGCAAATGGGTCTGTCTTTGTCTCACCTGCAAAAGTTGCCCATT